CACAAGCTGATCTACAGGAGGTGTCGTGCTTCGCTGAACTTGGTTGCACTCCAACTCCTCTAAGCGTTGTCGGGGCTCCTCGGCATTCCTATTGTCCGAGACCATGTTACGTGTGTCTTTCTCCTTCTTGGGCCGTGCGGAGCGGTCTTTCACCAAGCTGGACTCGGCGACGGAGACCACACGAGGTGGCATCCGCTTGCCGAGCCTCTCTTTAGTAGGGATCTGCGTAGTTTAATGCGTCCTACTATGGTTTTTGGGCTCATGAGAGCGAGCTATGGAGGCAGATTTCCTTGTAATGTCTTGCTTCTCATGGTTGGATTGTGCTCCCCTTTTGTCTGGCCAACGTGTTTTGGGGTCCTCGGGGCGAGGATCGTCTTTTGTACTCGTCGGGGCATGAGGGGGGATGGCCTAGCTGGGCGGTGCTGCGGATCCTAGTGTTTGCATTATCTCGAAGATCTTGTCGACCTTCTCTTGCATTGCCCAGAACTGCGCAGGATCAACCGCGGCTGGAGGCTGTAGGAGTTCTTGGTGTGGAGAGCTGCGATGTTGAGACTCCCGAGATGGGGACCGGAATGTTGATTGTTCAGACTGGTTCTTGGCGATATGGGAGAAAAGATTTCCGGAAAGGCTTTTTGTGTGTTTTTCATAGACGGCGCCAATCTGATGCTGCTTAATCCGAGGCGGTGCATGAATTGAGGAGAGTAACCATATAGTCCTTGCCAACAGGGCGGTGCCGAGGTGGTAGGACGAGGCTGCGCTTCAAGACCTGTGACCAAGAAAGGAAAATCAGAGGCCCGAGGAGTTATCCTTGGGTAGGTACTCCGACGCTCAAGTCAGTAGAAGGTTGTGGATGGTCGGGCCAAGCAACAAGGGTGATGGTCTGAGCAGAGTAATAGTCTGGGTGTCAAAAGTTCGAATCCCTTACCTTGAGCGGGGAATACCTCTTTATAGCCGAAGGTCCGTGTCCTGATCGGATTGGGCTTCTGAGGTTGCTGGGATGAGGTTAATTGTTGAGGTCTTTGGGATAGAGTCCTATTCCTCAGTGGAGTTGTCCTCTTTTCTCCTCCTATCCGTAGTTGTGATTATCCGCGTGACGTGTAGCTGACATGGCTGAGAGGATAAGATGGGGGGCTACAGTAATGGCATAGCACATTCGGGGCCGTAGAGTCAGTGTATGTTGCGGAGTCGACCGGGTCGTACCGACGTGGCCAGGGTGACCGGGTGATGATTGGACGACCACGTGTCTCTTAAGGCCAGCTCAGCCATGACCCAAAGAGTTCTGTTTGGAAGTAGTATAAACATAAATGTTGAATTTAAAACCATATATTTTATATTTTTTATTGTATATATTTGAAAGGAGTACAAATGCAAATATGTACAGTACAAATACAAACAAAATAATACAAAATACAAGGTTTTGCACTCTACAATTGCACTTGTACTCTTTTAGGCTCAATTTGAAAAGAGTACAAATACAAATATGTACAAATATAAATGTATGTAAAATAATACAAAATACAAAGTTTTGCACTCTACATATTTGTATTTGTACTCCTTCCAAACTGAGCATTAGGAGGAAAAACCGTCAAAAAAAATGCCAATTTCCACCTTATTTTGATGCGAAAGCTAAAAATGTCATCATTCATTCAAATGCTTGTGAATTTCACCCAAAGTGTATAGTTGTATCAAACCGGTGTGCTGTAACCAAACGCAGCTTTAAGGGTGGAGAGGCCTTCCAACACAACTCTTCATAGCATATACATAAATACATAATATAAACATGCACATGTAAGATATGAATTTTCAAATGGGTATACTACCAAAATAGTATGGATTTTCAAAAATATATAAATTTTTACTTGTAATCTGGTAAAATAGGACCAACCATTTATGCTACGTAGAAAGATATTGTAGCTGATTCAAAACATCCATTAGATAGGTCCATATCAGCCATATGCCACACTTTGTATTGGTAGCTTTCAGAATTAATATTGGCTATTTAATTATTAATTATAAATCTTCTCTATGAAAAATGGGCCACATTTGGCCCATTGAAGATGTTGGGCCAGAATGTTTCCATGAAAAGATAGTACAAAGAGGGACTCGGTGCTGGAGAGCCATTTTGAGATCCAAACTAACTTGCCACATTTAGGACTCCATGTTGTTTTCATGGGTGGCCCATCCCCATCCCCTAAACCCCCTAGTGGCAGTAGCCAGCAGCCAGTGGGATTTGATTCCAGGTCTCTATAGTCAGAGATCCTACCAACCGAGCCACCGCCAGTTGGTTTTCCATGTTGAGGGAAGCTTACTAACCCACGCGCCTAATGCATCTAATAAACCTGTTCCCATATTAAAAGAAATATTTATAGATACCCAATATTGGTTTATATGGGGTCTTGGAGGGATAGACTGGATATGATCCTAATCTTTGGGATTTTCTGTAAAGTGGCTGCTCTCAGGTTGAATTCGACTTTTCATATTGGCTAGTTCAAGATTTTACTTTTACAAAAAGTAATAGCCTATATAAGGTATAAATATAGATATGTTTGGTAAGATGCCAACCAGCTGCTTAATAAGATCTGTTCATAGTGATTGTAGTAGAGATTTGGGATCAAATCCCGCTTGCACCTAAATTGAGAGGATTATAGCCTTATGGGTTGGGGGGTGGATTATCCCCCCGTTGTGTAGTCCTTGGAGAGAAAAAAAACAGATATATTTGTAAATATGCATATTTTAATAGATCATTACATGTATTTGAATGCAAAATATTCAAAGTTTTTCATTATGGTTATTAATAAAGTATGAAGTACATATTCATTTTAACTATTTTCTACAATGCCGTAAAAATTTGACAAAATATATATATTTTGTCATATTTTTCATCATAAACAGAATTATTTTGTAAGCTAGCTAGCTTTTATGGCATGGTATTCTTGCTCTGTGCATATAAACCATGGTTGCGTTTGGTTAGTCGTCAGTACGTTTATGGTTAGTTATCAAAAAGTAATTATCCAATTTACTTATCTTCTATATATCTATCTATTTATCTATATAACAAGATGGTCCACGTTAGGGGTGTCAATTGACCACTTTTTGGTTTGGATCCAATCCGATCCAAATCTTATTAAATCGGATTTGGACAGTTCGTTATAATTATTGGATTGGTCCATATTCTTATTGGTTTGAATTAGACTTAAACCAAATTTCCAATAATTCGATAATGGGGCCAAACCCTTGTCCAATTTGAAATCAATCCTAACTGAAAAGAGCATAGGATCACTTTTATGAAAGTACTTTTACAAAAACATTTTTATAAAAGCACTTTTATAAAAGTAATTTTATGAAAAGTATTTATACGAAAGTACTTTTATAAAAGCACTTTTATAGAAGTAGTTTTATAAAAGCACTTTTACAAAAGTACTTTTACGAAAACACTTTTATAAAAGTACTTTTACACGAAAACACTTATGAAATCACTTTTACAAAAAAAACCTTTATGAAAGCACTTTTAGAAAATCACTTTTTATGAAAGAACTTTTACGAAAGCACTTTTATAAAAACACTTCTACGATAGTACTTTTACGAAAGTACTTTTATAAAAAAACTTTTACAAAAGCACTTCTACAAAAGTACGTTTATAAAAGTCTATGGAAATACTTTTTGAAAAGTGCATTTACAAAGGCACTTTTCCGAAGTACTTTCAATAAAGTGCTTTTGTAAAAGCACTTTTATGAAAATATTTTTATCAAAGTACTGTTACAAAAGTGTTTTTTCAATGCTAAAAGTGCTTTTATATAATTTTTGATATTTCATTCGGTTTGGATTGGATCCAATCCAATCCAATCCATTTACAATCTAATGGATTGGATTGGATTTGGTTTGTATTGGATTTGGACTGGACTTGGCCTAGTCCATTTATAAGTGGACTCACATTGGATTGGATCGGGTTGGACCAAATCTGTCCAATTGACACCTCTAGTCCACGTCAGCATGCTTCTCCTTGCTCCAAACCCTCTTCCTAATTTCCAGTTTTTTTGATTTTTTTTTTTAATTTCACATAATTGCCCATTAAACCAATATGGAAATAACATATGCTAAATTATCTCTAACAACAAATAGATAAAGAAAGAGTGATTTGATTTTCTAATGTTTGGCCAAGTGGCACCACTATCCCCCACTTTCTCCTAAATTATTTATAATTCCTATTTATCTTATCCCTTACTTTGCCAAGTGGCATGATTATCCCCCACTTTCTCCTAAATTATCTCTAATTCCTATTTATCCTCTCCCCCACTTTTTATTTATATCTATCTAAAGAAATTTTGAATTAACAAATTTAAAATCTATTTAAATGTTATAATTAAATTATATAATAACTTTAAAATATTTATTTAAAACACAAAAAATAATTATAATAGATTTAATAATATTCACCTTATTAATAATTTTCATTTTTACAAAATTCATTACCAATTTATGTACTAACAATATAAATTATAATTTTACAAGAATTCTATTCAAATGATAAAAATTTAACATAAAAACAAAATATTATTTAAATATTTTAATAACTAAATATATTAAATAACAAAATATTAAAAATAACTAAATAATTATATAACAAAATATTTAGCATTATAACTTAAAAATAAATAAAATTCAAATAACAAGAAATTAAATATTTTTAATAACAAAATATTATAACATAACTAAATTTTAAATAGCTAAAATAAGGAAATTATGTAACGAATTTAAAAAAATTCTTAAAAGTAGAAAATAATTATAATAAATTTCATAATTAATATTTTAATAATATCTTACAAAATTAATAACAAAATTATGTAATAATAGTATAAATTATAATTTTATAGATTATTAAATTCAATAAATAATTAATATTTTAATATTTTAAATAATAATATTATTTAAATAATAAAATAATGTTGTAAACTAGTTTCACTTATATCAATTAATAATCACGATTATGCTCAATTGCCCAAAATCACTTTGGCTTCTCCTCCTCCATTCAGTATCGAATCAGTGAGTTCGGCTTCACCTTCTCCTCCATTCAGTATCGAAGCAGTGAGTTCGGCTTCACCTTCTCCTCCTCCAGTCAGTATTGAAGCAGTGAGTTCGGCTTCTCCTTCTCACAATCATCGATTTGGCTAGTTCTTTTGAGATTTGAGTGGATAAGAAGAACGAATCACCTCAAACACAACAACAGCGAATAGGTTAGGGCTTGGACATTTTAGTTTTTTTCTTTCTGATTTAGTTCATTTGAAGTTTGTTTTTGAGAGCAAATTGATTCTAATATCTTTCTCCTCCCCCTCCAAATAACCATTTTCTATTCCAAAGGATTTAGCGGATAGGAAGCTGTAATGCAGAATGAGGCCAAAGCAATATCTATAGCAGATTTGAAGAAAGACACTAGATTAAAAGAATGGACGCTGGTGCTAGTTTAGGATTCCAAATCTCGGATCTGCAGACTCAACATCTCTGTCTACGCACAGCTCCGAGAAGCTCCGTGAGTTCTTTTAATTCTCCTTCATTCCTTCACATCTTTGCACTGTCTGCTTGATATCTTATATGAATTTCTATTTTTCAAATTCTTATTCCAGATTTAGTATTCCAGAAAACCATCCATCAAAATTAAGATTGATGAATCTAAATGGAGAAGCAATCCTGGTCTGTACCTGTCAAAAAAAAAGCAATCCTGCTCTTTAAGGAAGCATTTGCCCATCCTCTCACAACAGCATCAATACTGAAATCTCTAAGCTCCTCTCTCATACAACTTAATTGTCTACCCTGATTACAATAAGCTGAACTGGGTTTGTAGGAGAGAGGAATTTAGAGACTCTGGCATTCCTCCCCTCCCAAATTGAAGCATGCAAAGAAAAATTACCACACCTGATAATACAACTTTAATGATGCATGGAAACAATGGAAAATTGAGGGAGGGGATGAAAAGAAAACCCAAAATTCCAAATTACTCCCTCCATGCAAAGAAAAATTACCACACCTGATAATTGCTTGAGAAATGCCTCTGTGTTTGTTTCCATGTAGAAGGGCCATAAAACAGAGATTTTAAGGACTGGAAAATTTATTTTCTCTTTTACAATGAAACTAATGTGGCCTTAGTAATACCAAGCCTCCAAAGCAACCTTGTACTATTTACACTTAAGAGGTACTTAGCCATCTCTTAAGTCTATTTTTTTTTTTTTTTTATCAATACCATCTCTTAAGTCTATGCCTACATTCACCATTTAACTTAGTGGCTAATTTTGCCTGGGAGGCCAGACACCAAGTATTTTATGGGCTAACCAAGTATTTAGGTGATCATACTTATAAAAAAAAAGGCTGAATTTTAGGGGAGCAAGGTAAGTGAGGGATGAAAAGGAAAAGAAGTGAAGGATCTTTCCATGACCAGTGTACTGCCAAAGCAATGGTGTAGTTTCTGTCAGGGTGTATAGCTTGGTCTTGTTGAGTTGGGGGAATTGCCTTGATTTGATCCTTAAGTTTCTGCCAAAGCTTGGTTTTGCATGAAACTCCAGCCCTAAATATCTCTTACATCTATGCTAAATATGTAGTAAAAGTTGGCTTCGCTTCTTTTGTTTATTTTTTCTCTTAATTTTTTAACACTTATCCATGAGTTGGGTAGTGCCTCATAACCTAATCTTTTTATGGCCTTGGTGGTTTCTAGGCAATTGCCTCTTAACCTAAATATCCGAGGTCGTTTTGGTGGATTTTCTGCTTCGTGCTTCAGTTCTCTGACTGATGTGTTCCCTGCCGCTGTAGTACACCCTGCTATAATGGATCCGCCGGTGATCATGTTGATCATCCCGCGGATCGGTCTTTCTTCTGGTAGCTGCCGAGGTGGCTGCTCGTTCTGTCTGCTCGACTCTGGAGCGTCTCTCCTTCGGTCACCCTGCCGGTCCCCCTGTCATTTCTCTTCGCGTAGGATGTAGTTTTTTAGGTATCTGCGGCGAATGAGCTCTTCGATCTCGTCGCGGAGATTCCGGCAGTTCTCTGTGCTATGACCATGGCCATGGTCTCGCGAGGGATTATCAGCCTCGACTTAACTAACCTTGTGAGATTCAGTATCAAGAACAAGTCCTCCTCATCCTGTGTTGTATAATTTTCCAAATACATTGAATTCCTTGTTTCCCCTGTTTTACCCACTCATCTACAAGACTGTTAGCAGACCTACTTACAAAGCAACCTATTAAGAGATTAGAGTCCTCTTTGTTTATTATATTGTTGTACTTCATATCTTTAGACCTTTTCAGACCTGTCAAAACAGCCTTTAGCTCTGTCCTATTGAATCCTCAACACTGATAGCTTCCAAATATATAATCATGCTGTCTGTCATGTGATTTCTAATCACTACAGTGCCTGATACCTAGGTTGCCCGGCAAAATTCAGATTGATCTATGATGACTGTGGTGGGCACCATTACACTTGTACTATTGACCTGCTTGGGGCAGAATCATCTACTTCCTTCCAGTTTCTTATATAATGTTGTCAGTTGTAAAAGAAGCAGCAGCTCCATAGCCCTAATAATCTACAGAGCCCGAGAGTAGGTCTTTGAATAGATCAACTGCTTGGATCTTCCCCCATCATCTTTATCCCCAGTTCCCACCACCCCTACTGCAGAGGATGAAATTGGGGCTTTGAACTTGAGTAGCTGAGAAAAATGGAGGTTGTTATTGCCTCTGGTCTTACAATGGAAGATGAAGAATCCAAGCAAAGCTAAAAGAAATATGGCAATAGTTGTAACAGAAACAGTTACAGCAATAACCAATGTCTTTTGTCTACTGTTTTTGTTATTGCTTGTAAAAGAACTGTTATGACTAGTACAAGGGAGCAAACCTTGCACATTTTCGCCACACAAACCTGGGTACCCACTAATTCCTTGGGAGAAGCTCTTTTAAAGGCGATACTATCTGGAAGTGGACCTCTAAGATTGTTATTCGATATGTCAACAGACTGAAGGCTCCTCAGACCTTGTAGGGCAGGAGGTACCAAACCAGAAGCCTGTTGTTAGAAAGATTCAATTTTTCTAATTGACTAAGGCTTCCAACCTGTGGTGGTATTCCTCCAGTGAGTGAATTTTGACTGAGGTCTAGAGAAGACTGTAAGGCCACCAGATTCCCAATCTTCCATGGGATTGCCCCATTTAATTTGTTGTGGTTGAGTTTCAAGGATGTTAGTTGCTGGCAGTCCCCCACCAAATTCCCAAGCTTGGAGGGATGGGTCCATCAAACATATTTTGATCGGCTGTCAGGTGGACAAGCTTTCCACCTACACAAATTTGAGGAGGGAGCTTGCCTGTGAAATTGTTAACGGAGAAACTTACACTTCCCAGAGAACTGGGGCCGAAATCTTTTGGTATATTACCAGAGAAATTGTTATAGTGAACATAGAGGGAATTTAGGTTTTCCAAGTGGGTTATAGATGAAGGCAAGGTTCCATGAAGTTTATTCAAACTCAGGTCCAGAAATTGTAGTCTTTTCAGCTTACCTATTTCATGGGGAAGGGTTCCACTAAGCTGATTATTCATTGAACTTAGATTGGCAAGCCTAGACAAGTTCCCAATGCTGGGGGGGAATAAAACCAGTTAAAAGGTTATTAGATAAATCAAGTTCATACAAATTCAAAAGATTTCCAATCTCCCAAGGCATAGAACCTGATAATTGGTTCTAGAATAGTTGATGGAAACTTTTGATCCTAATCAAAAGTTTTGTCCAATCTCCCAAGGCAAGGTTTTCCACAAATGCACTTCACTTGGTATGAAGTGTATTTCACATTTAACTTCCTCTGCAGAATACTCTCTCAATACAAGCTCTACCTCACCAACTACCCCTAGTCTGCGAAACCATCCAACCAGTATCTCAGATGCCTCTTTGCCAACCATAATACCCTCTTTCTCCAAGTCAATAAGGAGGTCTAACGCCTTCTTAAACTTATTCTCCTTTTCATAAGCGGCCAACATCAGAGCCACACATTTGTCACTAGGTTCAATCCCAGCATTCCTCAGATTTTCAAACACACTGCGTGCACCATCACTCTGCCCTGCCACTGCATATGCATTGATAAGAAGTGCACACAACTTAATATCAGGGGCGATTCCAGCAAACTTTATAGCATCAAACACCCTTTGAGCCCCTTTTCTATCACCAATTGTGGAGTAAGCCCTTGACAATGCCTTGTAAACTTCCCTTCCTGCATAGATTTCTTGAGCTTCCATTTCTCTAAGCAAACATTCTCCATGGCTGAGCATTCCGGCTCTGACATAGCCCATGATCATTGGCCCATATGCTCTTTTATCTAATGGCAAGCCCAGTAACTTGATCTCCTCAAATGTTGCCTCAGCCTGCCTAAGACAACCAGCCTTGCTGTACATCTGAATCATAGCAGTTAAGATTACCTGATCATAGGTAAAGCCTCTGTTCTTCATGGTTTGGAAGACGCTTTCAGCATCATGCAACCGATTTTTCTTCCCATACCCATCAATTATCTTGGTGTAGTCACGGACATTAGCTTCAAATGATTCTTGTACAAGGGCAAGCTCCATTACCTGGGACGCATTGATTGTGCAATAGAATTTTGGTTCAGGCAATAATAGTGGAAGGTTTAGGTGATTGATGGTTGATAATACATTGCATGCATGCAAAAAAAATGACACAAGCTCATGGGTCAGAATAAAACACTTCTGGGAGAACCTTAAAGTGGAACTGTAAACATGGGTGCCAAATGAAACAGACATTATAAATTTATTACCACTATTCAAAACACAGATATTCATGAAAGAAGAACTCTCTCTGTATCTTCAAATTACACAAAGGGTTTTAAAACCCAGAAAAGGTGTTTGACCATAATAATCAGATGATGGAGATAGACTAGAATTGTGGAACAAGAAACTTCAGCCAAACCCAAAGTGTTAAGTGACAAGAATCAGATGATGGAGATGACAGAATCAATGATGAAAATGATAGTGACAGTTCAGGACCCAAAAGGCTCAATGTTTACTTGAAAAAGCATAATGAAGAACAACTTTCCGATACCATTACAATGAAGTACCTATATTTTTAGGATTTGCATTGGTGGGCCCAACATTGCATTTCTGGTAATGATTCAGAACCTATATTTTCTTTACATTTGTAAGTTGGATATTTTATTATCAGTATCAGAAAATTAATTAATATGTAAAAGAATCATACATTCCAGAAAGAAATGCAGGACAAAGGACATGTACAAACAACTCAGTGCTGAAAAGAAAGTTTTATGCCTTTAAAAGTGATTTTTGGACAAGTCCCTCCCAGGAAAAGGCATATCCCAGTCCAATAAAACTTTATTTACTCCCTCCTGAGTAGCGTATCTTCTAGGTTGTATGCAAACCTGGGAATCCATTTGAATGTGTGGTTTATTGTGGATACCAGTAGCTTGATTTCTCTTATTAAATACCTCAGGTTCCATGGGCCTTTGTCTTCTGATGTGAGCTATCCAATCATAATGTGGCGGTCACCTTTAATGGATAAATCAATCTAGCTCATTGATCTACTCAGTGTGATATCAAATGGAGAAACTAACGTTTCAGCTCTCAGAGTTTCCTTATCCAGATGGTCTGCAGTAACTAAGTAGGAGTTCCTTTTCATAATTTCTGATTACTCCATATCCAGGTGGACCTGGATTGCCCAAGTAGCAACTATCAATGTTGAGTTGTGGAGTTCTTGCTTTTTCTCATTAAATACTTTCATTTCTCTTATTCCATATGCCCGAAATGATTGCTGCTCTATTCCATATGCCCTTCTGATCCAGGTATATTTGATCACCTTTGTGACCTAGTTACTTTGAAATTTCATTGAAGAAATTCAAATTTGGGTTTATAGGTACCTGCACTTGAGTAAATTGGTGACCCTCCAAGGAGCATCAGGTGCTTTCTTACGCCTTCTCCTTGATCAGGTGATTCTCTCTTCAACTTGAGATAGTACTTGCCATAACATGGCTTTGCTGTTTTATAACGAATAATTGCTGGTTTGGAACATATTTTTTTTCTAAACTTGATACAGTTCATTTTCTCTCCTATTTTCATTGGGGTTTTCTTATCTACTCTAGTTACTCTAGAGGGGAGGCCATCACAAGTAGTGCCAAAGCTTCAACAGGTGTAGTTTTATCATTTCTATTTTTATTTTTTGCATTAGTTTCTTTCAAGGAAGTTTGCCTCTGTTTTATACTTATATTTTGTATGTTCACCATTTGTAGGAGTGGTTTTCTGCAGTATTGGCAAATTGGCAACTTTGGATACCTTTCTAATTTCTCAACTTTCGATTTGTTCCGCAACAGTTCCAGGTACGAATGGCAAAGTCTATCATACTTTGTTGGATATATGGTTAAATTGGGATGGGAAGTCAGGGGAGGTAATTTTTCTTTCCTGCTTGCCAGTGTTAGTGAAGCCATAGTCTAATTAAATATGGACAATGTCTTACAATCTGTGTGATTGAGCCACAGTCTAATTAAATAGTATACTCAATATAGGTGGCACTTGATGACTTCCTAATGGAACGTTTCTAGAGTTTGGATTTCTTGAACAGAAAACAACTATTTTTTACTCCTAGAATGCGAGAAAACTTCTATCAAAAGGTTATCAAATACTGCTTTTAGTAGCACTCATGGATTGATCCTTCTAAACAATCAGAAAACAAATATATCTGATCGTTAAGTAAGATTCGTGGTTTATAAGTTTTTGGTTCAAGTTTTAACTACAAGTAAGGTATGGAAAGTTACTTTGACATATACTAGGGTATGGATTTAAGGTTTTAATGCAAGACTATGAATAAGCTACATTTCAAATGTTGTTTTTCAGGTAAAAATCATGCAATGTATATGTGATTAGTTGGTTAAAGGTCTTTTGCTTTTGAAACATTATAGTTACTAATTTGACTTTTTTTTTTTTTTTGCTTTTTGTTGTGTTATTTTTTCTTGCAGATTGTAGAAGAAAGAGAATGTAGATGGTGTCAAGATGAAATACATTTTTTCTTTTCTTAGAGTAGGAAGTGAATTCTTTTTTGTATTTTTTATTCCATATTTTTTGTAGATGGATTGTTCTTTTCTCTTTGAATTTGTATCAATCAATATGAAACAATATTCAGAAACAATGATTATCTTTCAATAGATATGTGAATGAATTGTTTTAGATAGCAAATTAAATGTTTGTAAATAGGTTTATATAAGTTTTGCATATGATAAAACAACTTTTCAAAACACAAATAAATGATCTTTAGAGCCAGTCACAAGTGCCTCTAAATAAGACCAAATAATACTTTAGTGGCAGTTTTAAGTGTTGCTATGAAGCTTAAATAAAATTCTTAAAATTACTTTTAGAGGCAAATAAATTTGCCTCAAATTTAATTAAAATGCCCCTAAAAATGTATATTTGGTGGTATTCATAAATGCCTGTAAAATGCTTTTAGCGTCAGTGTTTTAGAGGCAATATTATATGCATATATATCTCATTTTTGGAAGCACTTATCAGATGTGCCTCTAATTATAAGTCAAGTGCCTCTATATCATTTAGAGGCTAGACATTTAGAGGCAATCACCTGAGTGTCTCTGATTCTTTTTAGAGGCATTTTTTTTTCTGTTTTTAGAGGCTTTTTTTATTGCCTCTGTAGGTGATTTTTCTAATAGTGTATTGTATTTTCATTATAAATTTATTTCCAATAATTATGTATTTTCACTATAGATTTTCAATAACTATTGGAGATTATACTATTGTAATGCTATTTATTTCCAATGATTGTGTATTCGATTTGCCTTTTTTTTTTGAGAGAGAAACCAAATAATTTAATAGTTTATGGTATAGTAATTGAAGAATTTCAGTTTCAGTTGTCAACTAATAAATTAGCAACTTACTGCATTCTATTTAGACATTTGGATTTGGATTGTGGGAAATAAGGTTGAGACAAAGAATTGTTTTGGACGTTTGGTAAAAGTTAATTTGAAAAACATACTAGGGCAAAATAAAGTCCTTAAATTCGGGCTTTGTGCTTTTGGGCTTGAAAAAGCATAAATCCGAAAACTTATCCCAATACAAAATTATTTTATGATAAATAATTAGTTGCATAGTACTGATTGTTTTCAACTAGCCCTTTAGTGTTGGAGTTACAACCACCCTACCTGTGGTGTGTTTGCCTATAAGGGTGTCAATGGACGCCCGTCCAGTCCAAAATCAATTTGGACGGACCAAAAAGGTATAGTGGATTGGACCGATTCAGTCCAAAATCCATTAATATAAGATAAGAATATAGGTGTCAATGGGCCGGGTTTGAGTTGAAATCAATCTAAATTAAAATAAATTTGAACAAATTGGATGGTCCAAACATTGAATAAGACCAAAATGGTCCAAATTATTCATTGAATTGGATTGAACCTGGTTCATTCGTAATGGACTCACATTGGACTGGATCGGATAGGACCAAATCCAGTCCAATCGACACCCCTATTTACCTAGAGCAATCATCTGCAATCAGGTCTTAGGGCATGCAATGGAATGGGCCAAATTGGGAAAGCACCACACTCCAATGTTAGAATACTTGTGAGAGAGACATTAAATTTTGCAATTACATGGTTCTTTATCAAAGTTCAACATTTACCCTTACATATTTTTATTGTACATAGATGAATTGACAAATCATATTTAGAAGAAGGTTTCATGGTGCATGTTGTTTGATGATGACATAGTTTTAATTAACGAAATTAACAAAGGATTAAATGCAAAATTAAGTTTATGGACAAATACCTTAGAAACAAGTTTTAAAATAAGGATTAAGATAAGATATATGATATGTAATTTTAATTATAATTGGAGTGCAAATAAGAACACAATTAAGAATATTGGAGATCAAGAGATAATGCAATTAACGTGACTTTTTCTGGTACCTAGGTTTGATAAATCATAATAAGAGGGATTGGGGAGGATATTGCCCATAGAATTAGAGTGGGATGGAAAACATGGAGGGGTGCATTTTGAATCGGAGTCTTATACATGTTGATGCTGCTCGATCCGAGGTGTTTTGAATTGAGGTCGCAGTTAGATAATCTTGCCAATTGGACGAAGCCGAGGTGGAAGGATGAAACCGCACAACAAGATCTGAAACCAATAACAGAATCAGAGGCCTAAGGAGTTATTTCCCAGGTAGGCACTCCGATGCTTAAGTTAGTGAAGAGAATGGGTGATCAGGCCAAACAGTTGAGAGAGCAATGCTGGTCCGAGCAAAATAACATTACGGATGCTAGAAAGTCCAAAAGTCCCTTACCTTGAACGAGGGTTACCTACTTATAGCGGAAGATCCGTGCCTGATTCGGATGAAGCTTCTGGGGTTATCGGGATGAGGTTGTCTGCCGAAGTTTTCAATATAAGACAATTGTAAACTAGCTAGCTATTTGTATCTTATATGAAACTAATTGGGCAGTCAAGGAACATCATATCATAAAACAAATGTAACAAAAATGCATGTATTGAGATAGGTGAGTGAAAAAAAAAAAACTAAAAGGGAAGGGATAAAAATGAAATCATTCAAAATAAACTATAAACAGTTTATAGTTTGATCATATACATAGAACAACACCTGTGAAAAAAAATCTTCTATTACAAGTTGAAGGGGTTAGAAGGCTTGATAATAATAATGATGACCCTGCTCCATGCTCATGTTAGGCATGTTTGGGTGTTATAAAAAAAGGATCCATGATTCAAACCAGACTGAATCGGAGTCCATGCCAGGTTCATTAAATGGGAGATTCTCCCAAGAATGACTGAGATATTGCCGCCTCCCTTCATTTTCCAATTTCTGACTTGTTCACACTATTCGAGAAGACAATATGGCTACATTATGTGCAGCTTTCATGGCGGATTTGCACATGACTATCCTTATCACAGAGTGTGGCTAAATGGCCCACCTGATCCCTTGTACTCAGAATTATATAGTGTGGCCGTATGGGGAGGTCCACCCCTGCAAGGCATTAGTGCATGCGCCTTGAATTTGATGATGTATCTTTTTTTTTTTACCGAAAACATGCAGACATCAAAACCAACGTTTTACAAATGGGAGAATAAACTCACTTGTCCTTTGAGTGTGAAGAAAGAGACGACATGAGAGGGACCAAGAGAACCTTCAATAAAGTCTGCAAATGGGGAAACAAACTAACTGTTATTTACTAGTGTTCATGATGCCTCAAAATTATCGTGGTAAACCAGAAAAATAACCCAATCTCAAGGGCTTAGACACACAACAAATAATATTCTTGGGCGGGTCATCAATTCATAGAGATTTATCAAAGATATGTTTTTGACATATATTATATATTCATCCTATCAAATAAAAACAAATATAATAAATAAAGATTATCATTGTTGCTGATAGAATGATTAGAAAAAAGAGAACTAATGATTTATGACCCAATCCTAGCTAGGTCAAACCGTTCAGTGGTTCAATTGGTTGGGTCACTGAATCATTGACTGTCAATAATCATTTTGCAAGTAGGCATTTCAGAATAAAACAGACCAAAAAATCTGGTTGGGTGATGAATTGACTGGTCAGACCAGTTGGTTCGACTGCAGGTTGAAAGCATTGCTTAACTAGGGAAGGCTTTAGTGAGGTCATAGATTTGATGGCAAAAGATATGAAGTGTAGGTTATACCTAGATTTGCCTACCTTTTCCTCCTTTCCTTATTTTTTCTTTCAAACCCAACACAGCTTTATTCATTTAAAGCTCTACTTAGGAAGAATATTGGTACTGGCTAAGCAAAGTCTCAATTAATACTAATTTATCTTATTGTAGAAATGATAAGTTATCATGGACTAATTTTCGGTTAACCAGGCCCGGTTCATCTATTTGGGTTTTGGTTAGCCAGGTAATGATCCGATAAAGGGTCTGGTCTCTAAACCCTAAAGCATTCACTCTGCCCGTCCACCCATTGTTCAGGTGGTTGCAGAAGCAGGTCAATTACTTTAATACAGCTTCTTGGTGGTCCGGCCAGCCTGGACTGGTCCGGTTGGTAAGACTGGGTATGGATGCTACGGAGTAGTCCAGCTCATCCGATCTGATCCGGTCGTTTGCCTCAAAAAACACAAGTATTCGTTTTCTATAAATAAAGAGAATAAAATCGGTTCAGATCTGGTATTGACCCACTTACAAGAATCTCATTATCCTGAAATTCCATGCCATTGTAGCTGAAAATCTCACTGTAGTTGAGATACCAGTTACTATTTTCCGATGTGCATTATGAGTAACTGAGTTCTATCTGCAACGTATTTGTCGTTTAGACCCTGGAAAAGATTCTCCATTTCCCCTTTGTGAGGAATAGTTGGCCGCTTTTGAATAATCCATGCTTTTATAATAATTTTCTGATCGAGAATAAATGACAGTAATTAAGTTCTACGATCAGTCTTGATGGATGAATTTATTTCTTTTTTAATTTGCATCAGTTTTATCTGATACTAACCATTAATTGAACCTTAATGTTTTTGCTGGGTAAGATTGATGCTTTAATTTGATCAATGTGACCCGTATTAGATTCCTTTTATGTATCACACAAGTAGTCCTGTAACACGACAGAGAGAGTTGGTCAAAAGTTAGCCGGACACCATCTTTGTACAATTGGTCTTATTTTCAGATAAGATCTCAAAGGATCCGTCCATGGAAAAGAAGGAAAAAGAAGAAGGAAAAGAGATTGGAATCCATTGTGAACTGAAGAGAAAGCACAACTTTACGGGTCTCTTTTCAAGTTTCAACTCCTTGGCAATTGTTTGTTATTGGGTTGTCAAGAGCTTGATTCTCTCCACCTCTTTCTTCTCTCTTGAAAATTCTCCATATTCGGGTGTAGATACTACATACAAACATTCGACCTAAAGAATCTACACAACAGACGCCTATATAGATTTAAAAAAAAGGTTAACAAATCATGGGTCGGTTGTCACCGGTTGATGAAGGCACTGATACGAGAGATCATTTCATGGGTTCGAGCCTGGGAGAAGTGAGAGTTGTGCAGAATTTGAAAAGCATGGCCTACACCCTTGCATATCAGCTGCTCCACGTTATGACCGGCGCGGGCCATTGCGGTGCAGAATTCCAGGTTTCTGTCCTTCAGTATATCCATCTCTGAGATGCAAACCAAGGTTTCTGGGGGGAGTTTCAGGGCCTCCAATTTGGTCGAGCTTTTGGAAAGAGGGTTGCACCAAGGATGATCGCGGTTGGCTCCCACGGGCAGAGATAATCGCCAGTAAACGTCCGAGGCTGCCAAGCTCAGCGCCGAGCTAGAGGATTGTGCTGTATTTATCTCTGAATGAGTCCTTGCCTCTCCACCGAAGAATGGCTGTATGAGTATAGTCCCCTTGAGACAGAATTGTTTCGGTACAGCCTCGGATAATTCGAGGGAACCCAGCCGGATGGCCACATTGTGCGCTATGTTGGCTCCAGCACTATCGCCAGCGAGGAACACTTTCGTAAAGTTGCACTGGCTCCACCACCACCTTTGGTCATTAGACCCGTTCAGCGCTTGTTGTTTGGCCCACAGCACGGCATTACAGCCGTCCTCGTAGGCGGCCGGGAGACGATTCTCGGGTGCCGATCGGAAATTGACGGACATAATCAAGCAGCCGGCTCTGGCTGCTAGTTTCGCCAGGAATTCATGGTAGCACTTCCAGGCGGCCGAGCCTACGCAGAATCCACCGCCATGGAAGTAAACAAGGAAGGGTAGCTTCCCCTGCTGGCATCTGGGCACATAGAATCGAGCCCACACGTTAGTGATTTTGTTGATCGCTACATCTCTAGATGCCACGTCGGGCTCTGAAGCCACTGTGCATACAACATTTGGGACGATCGGAGGACGCTCCACGTGCCCGTCCTTGTACACTCTGATGATCCCTTCAATCTCATCTGTGACAACTCCGTGTTGGCGATGGTCCTTTGCAATGGAGAGGTTCAGCCTGGGATCGAGAGAAATGGTGGCCATTCTTCTTTTCTTGCTATGAATTGTGGAAAGAGGAAAAATGATCGATCGATCGATGCTTTTCGATCACTATGGCTAGCTGTGGCTTGTCTAGCTTGAAGTAGTGCAAATGCTGTGTGACCCCTCTTGGCCCTGGAGATCTCCTTATATGGAGGTAGCTAGCTTGAGAGAAGAGATAAGCCAAGCCGAAAGTTAGTGAAGAATGAAGAGTTCCATCCCCCTTCTCTTTACTGGATTCCAGCCCTCTCTATTTGTTCCCATTGTTCAACGCTTTTACCCAATTGATAGTAACCATTCTGAAAACAATATATGTTGACACACTAAGTCACGTTTCATGACCTACTTTAGCGACTAGCCCCATCTTGTGATGATATCATATATCATGGATGCATAGTATATGCATGGCTTTGTGGAATAATAGTCCATCTTACAAAGGGGCACATCTAGGAAGTCACATGGAATTGAACCTCTCCATTGAAAATTCAAAGCATAAGCTAATAATTATAGATTAGATTCTTCATGGAAATGAAGGAAAAATTAAATGAATTTTCATGGGTTCCATCATTAGTTTCTATGGGGCGAAGTTTAATTTCCAAGAGTTGCAGAAACTCCTATATATATAGAGAGAGAATTAATTTCTTGCTGAAATATGATTAATTTTCCGATTGAACATGACGCAGCGTGGAAGCAATGGAAAACCGGAGCTGGCTATGCAAGCACCGGCGATCGCTAGCTTCTAACGAAGAACACCGAATTCTCTAGGAGAGAGAAAAGGTGGCGAAAACTCAAAGAAGAGAACTTGAAGAAACTCTGAAAATCTGCAGTATGAATTGATGAATAATTCTGGAAAATAGCAGTATTTATAATACATTTAGAAATTGTAAAAGAAACATGAATCTTGATCTTGATCTTGATCTCTTGGGCTGTCTTGATAAGGTCGAACCCTCTTGGAATTCTTGGACTTGATCTTCCACCGTCCGATCTCCTTGGTAGTCCTCTATGCTTGAATCTAGGAAATCTTTGGAAATCTTGATGATGCTTGGAGTCTTGCTAATCTTGATAGTCTTGGGAGTCTTGAGTTGTTCTTGCTTATCTTTCTTGGACTAATCTTGATAATCTTGGGTTCTTGGCTCCTTCTCTATCTTGACTTCTTGCCTTATCCTTATCCTAGAGCTGCTGCCCCTAGGGGTGAGATGGGCTTTCTTGTGATGGGCCTCCTTAGAACATTTCTGACGAAAAAAATCATCCATTTTCCCTTATTTCATATCCAACTAAACACACCCCAAAACCAAAAATAAATTCATTAATGAAGATCTTGACATCCATTTGTGCAACGAATCTGTTTTTCGACATCCATTTGTGCTTCCAGATATTAACAAATAATTGAATAAAATGATTCTATTTCTCAGCCTCCTTTAACTTATCCAGCCACTAAACATGACACAACTCTCTGTCTTTTGCTCATCTAAAGAGGTACCAATCATTCAGGCTTCATTTCATCAGAAATTGCAAACATTAATGTGCGGTTTAAATTAGATGTATTTTAAGTGGAAAAACTTTTGCATACTAATAATTTAATTTCAGTTCTGGATGAATTAGAGTCAACATAATCCAGCTCAACTTTAGTCTTTAGGTAGGCACCCAAT